ATTCTCTCTCTCTCTCTCTCTCTCTCTCTCTCTCTCTCTCTCTCTCTCCCCTTCACCATGCCAGCGGGCAACAAAGCAATGGCTGCAAAAGCTGCCGAATCTGGACGCGATTAGTGGGCAGATGCAGAAGTGATTGATCTGTGTTCACTATTTCCAGCGTTCAGCAACCAGCAAATCGTGAAGGCTCTCTCTCTCTCTCGCAACCAGCAAATCGTGAAGGCTCTCTCTCTCTCTCTCTCTCTCTCTCTCTCTCTCTCTGTCTGTGCGTCTCCCCCCCCTCAATCTTCCGTGTGCCAGCGCGACAACGAAATGGCTGCAAAACAGCCGAATCTGGATGCGGTTAGTGGGAAGATGCAGAAAATTGATGTGCTTGTATTCGGAAGGCAGCCCTGGATGTCGCGTCGCGTGAAACAAAATGGGACACCCGCAACAGCGGGTCCAATAAACCCTCTGACCATGGACATTGCGGCGACAGCCTCGACCCCGGGACAGTAGGGCAAAAAAACCTTCCTGCGGTGAAATAAATTTTGGGGGACACCTGCTGTCCCGTCCAAACGATGTGTGGGCCTCATTTTTGCTGGGCCCAGATGGAGCGTTTTTCGGGGACACCTGCTGTCCCGTCCAAATGACATGCGTGCCTCATTTTTGCTGGGCCCAGAGGGAGTTTCTTCCAAGACCCGCTTCTTCCGTGTTTTTTGCCTCCCACAAATAGACTGTGCGGGCCTCCTGTCTGTGTGTGCGTGCATGCGCGCGCGCGCGCGTGTGTGTGTGTGTGTGTGTCTGTTGAATCCAAGCAAATAGTTTCTCCGGTGTGGTTCTGACAAAAAAAGAATCCTGGCTGACGTTAAGCACTTGATGCAATGGGTGATTTTTTTTGTTGGGTTTGTTCTGTACTTGTTTCATATCGTGGCCAGGTGCACGACACGGAAAACGCCAATCAGAAGGAGAAGTTTGAAGCTGACCTGAAGAAAGAAATCAAGAAGCTTCAAAGATACAGAGACCAGATTAAGACATGGCTCCAATCGAGTGACATCAAGGACAAAAAGGTTGGTGAATCTGCCGCTTATCATGGCCAGGTGCAAGACACCTTTCCTCTACGGGTAGAAGAAGAAGAAGAAGAAGACAATGTATGCACTTTCTGTTCATAGAAGGGCGTGTGGAAAGGGGAAGGAAAAAGGATAAAAGCTTGCTAAAATAATTAAACCACCAGTACCTTTCCCATATGTCGGCCGCGGGCACTGCATGCCGGCCCGAAAATCAAGACTGGCCGCCGATTCGATTTATCGGCGGCTGCCCTTCCGTTTCATGCCAGCCCGCCTCTGAAAAAATAGCTGGGAAAGGTACTGGTGGTTTAAAGACTCTCGAGGAAGAAAAACGAAAGGAAGAAATGAATGACATATAGATTGTAGTGTGTCACATGTAAATGACATGTCCCGTGTGTGTGACATGTTCCCACAATAGGTAAGTATGTTTGGGTTATTCCCCCACAGAAGATGGAATATATGTCTCATTTGTTACATAATAGGTAGGTGTATATCTGGCATCCTCCCTTACAGAAGACAGGAGATGTCTGTCTCGTTTATCGCACATAAATGGCATGTCGTTACTGTGCGGCACATTCTCACAAAAGCTATCTACTATTTATCTAATGTGAACGCTACAGAAACAAACTCTTTGGGTGAATCTACTGCCTATGATGGCCAGATTCATGCCGCCTTTCCTCTACGGAAACTTCAGACATACCAACTGCTTGTTCTTGGTTGCCATTGTGCGCGATCCAAGGTAGACTAGCGCCATTTCAGTTACGACATGAGAGCGACTTTTCGGTCCATGGACTCCGGTTCTCTCATCTTCAGGATTTTTCTTTTCTTGCATGAGAGAACTTGGCTTTTTTTTTTTTTTTTTTTACATTGATCAATCAGAGTTACTGAGACCCTTTTGCAATTTCTTTGCTCGTCTGGTTTGTTACGTAGCTGGTTTGTTTATGGATCTCTCTCCATCTATTTCATTCGGAGCGTTGCTTTGTTTAGAGTGCAGGCCTTTCATTTTTCTTGCTGTCGTACTTGCTTTTGCATGTGGTACGCACCTCGACGATGCAGGCATTGTTCGATTCACGCAAGCTGATCGAAAAGGAAATGGAGAGATTCAAAGTCTGCGAAAAGGAGACAAAGACAAAGGCCTTCTCCAAAGAAGGTCTCGGGCAGCAGCCAAAGACGGTAAGCAGCTTGTTACGATGCATCAAACAATCTTACTTTTCTTATATTATGATCCTAACCTGGCACTCTGCATGCCAGGGCAGGCGGGAAGCGCAGTGTAGAGGTGATGATGAGGAGTAAGCAGGAGGAAGAGGAGGAAGAGGAGTATGAGAAAGAGTGATCAGACGAGGGAGTCTGGTGCGGTGAATGATCTCATATGTTGGGCCTCTTGACAGGGAGGAAGGGAGGGAGAGAGGGATGGGAGAGGAAGGGAGAGAGGGAAGAGGGA